TATATATATATATATATATATATATATATATATATATATATATATATATATATATTAAAGAAATTTTATTTAGAAATGTGAATAAAAGTACAAAGAGTATCGCTTTTGATCGCTCCCCGAACAGCTGGGGGTAGATCCACTAGAGAATTGTAAGATCTAAAAGAGTTATTGGTCAGTGCAAGTCTATGAGCCGCTATGTTCTCCTCTCTGTAAATATGTCTGACGTGACCTCCGTTTGTTGCTAACACTTCGAATTTCTTTGCGAGTTCCATCGTCGTTGTTGTTTTCAATGATTCGTTTCACCGCATTTTTTGCATCGATATGGATGTTGATGGGTTGGGCTGTGAGGTTAGTGGCCCATTTTAGGCCCAAAAGAGCTGAAACAAGTTCACCTTCCTCGATGTTGTCTGCCCTGTGTATGAACAAGGTTGTTGCTCCTAAGAAGCTTCCTGATCTTGTGCGCAGGATAGCTCCTCCTGCCATCTGATTTTCGTTCATCGCTACATTAGTGGTGAGGATCACCCCTTTCTCCGTCCTTGTCCATGTAAACAATTTAATTGCTGGTAATAACATGAAGGGGATGTTGGATTGTGACAGGCTAATTCTGCCTTTTCCTTTCACGATTGCCCACTCTAGAAACCTTTTCCAAATAATATGAGTGATTTAGGATTCATTTTTTGTCTCATTCTCATATATTCTTCTGTTTCTTTCCTTCCAGATTTCGTGCACTATGATACCTGGAATCACCGTGCACTCAAGAAGACTTTGTTGATCTCTTCTGTTATTCCTCCACCATTTCATTAGTTAAGCGCTAATTCCATGTGTTGTAGAGATTGTGATTTTGAAGGTAGATTCGAAATGTGCCCATATAGCTTTACTGAAACTGCTATCCTTGAGAGTATGTCCTGGACTATCTTCATCGTTCCTGCAAAACAGACATATTGAAGGGAGGGTATGTCCAAACCGTGTGAGTTGTTTAGGGAAGGGACCCAAGGGGAGAATGTTGATCAATTCTTAAACATAAAATATAAATTAGGGATTTAATCATGTGTACTTGATAATCCTGTAAGCGTAGTTAGGGATGAAGCCATGATTCTCACGCAGATCGAGTTCCCGTTTAGGGTGTATCGTTATGATGGCTAAGGTGAGGATGAGACTCACGAGAATAGAGAGGTAGAGAGAAGGCGTAAGATTGGTGTGTTAATCTCTGCCTAATGACCTCTATATATATACACCCAAGGGGAAACCCTAATTAGGTCATAAGGGTAATTACGTCCATCGAATAATTACCAATTAAGTACGTAGGGTACTTATTAGGTCAATGATCAATTAATTAGATAAATGATAACTCAGGCCACATAATAAAATCGTGTCTAACATTCTCCCACTTGGCCGAGTAATCATTTATGATGAGTATTAGATAAGTCTGATCAGATTTTAATACTCATTTTAGTTCTAAACCGAAATTGTAGCAGAGAAATACAGTCATTGAATCAATATTCAATTCAAGACCCCCATTAATCATACTACAATACCAAATTTAAAACTTAAATAAGCTAAGGATCAAATTGACAATTAAGCCCATAACATTATTCTGTATATAAATGTTGTCTATATGTCTTTAGGCATGCATAGACACATTCAGAGACAAACAAACAAAAGTATGAGGAAATTTTATTATTAAATGTAAGCAAGTACAATATGCAACTAAATAAGGTCTTTAGAAAACCCCATCTTCGAAACATGTTTTTCGAAAATCTTAGGAGGGA